AATAATTTCATATCCTTGGTTCTGTTTGAATATTCGTCAAGATGCTCGCTCTCTCAAGTGCGATGACTGCTCTGTTTAACTGATTGTTGAGATCGTTGACTCATGCCGTCAATAAAAGCACATTCCGTTCTGATAATAATAGCAATGAGTTTTTGTATCTTCTTGATACAATGTGGCCCTTTACGTATTGTACAAACTGTGAGTCATTCAACATCATGCGGTCTAGCGATCTCCACGCAGTCCCATTCTGTGAGCTCAATTTTATGAAATGCCTTCTTTCCGATGTGATGCCAATGACATATCAGTTCGCGTCCTGCAGCTCTTCTGTTTCCAACCGGCTCATTTTCGTGTGCTGACCTTGCCTGTTTTGTGAGATTGCCATCAAAGAACGCTCATCATATTAGGGTTAGTTTACATTATTATGATCACGCAATTTGAATAATATGGATCGTGCCTATGTTTCGGAGCGTAGTATCATGGTCCCCATTATCTTGCCATACACCCATAGTCCTTTCTCGATATACCTTCACAACGAATATAATGCTTTGTGACTAGATCCGAACAAAATTGCACCCCGCCCTTCTGCGCTGCACTTACCGCTTACTCATACTTCATTTCTTGCATGTCCTCTCACCGAAACGCGATTAGCACGGTTTCGCAATTGTTTTATTATATCACCTGTTCTTTTGCTTTTCCGAAATACGGGAAAGGTGACTTTCAAAAAAATTACGTCTACAGTAGTTGTGGGGCGATATTATTTCTCTCTTCAAAACACTCGTTATTTACAAGCTTCATTTTCCTTGTCTGAAAATGGTAGTTTACAGGCTTTTCATTTATTTTAATTCTATGTCACATTGTTGCTCTCGTTCGCTACATTCCAAGGACTTTTCACGTACGTGTCATCTATCTCGCTCACTTTTATCGAAAAATATCGCTGTCAACGCAGCTCTGTAATATTCGTCTTCGCGTGATCCTAGCTTTCCTCGTTTTTTTGGTGTTCGTGATTGCGTCCTCTTACTTTTGACTGTATTATTTGACATGTTAACATGCTCTAGGATGTCTAGCCCTTCGAGGCAGATAAAGTGTGTTGTTGTCGGAGATGGAACTGTTGGTAAAACCTGTATGCTGATTTCCTATACCACTGACTCATTTCCTGTACAGTATGTGCCTACAGTGTATGTTTGATTATTATCTTCCTTTCAAGTACCTTCAAAAAATTTACATGAAAAAAACCGTTTCAGCTTTGACAACTACTCAGCTCAAATGACACTGGATAATCATACTGTCAACCTCGGTTTATGGGATACTGCTGGTCAGGTATGTCGATTTTCAGTACTTGTTTGAAGCATTTACTAGTAAATCTGCTTTGTTTTATATATTTTTATTTTCTATCCGATCGAAACCCTTTCAATCAAGTGCTGGCCCTTTTCAAAATGAGTAATTGTGTTTGACATCTTTGTTTTGCTGTTCTTTGTATTGCTTGCCCTTCACGCAAATGACTAATTCTTGGAAAAAGGTGGTATTTTCCGTTCACGTGTAACTCTGGACTCTACAAGTTTGAACAGTCTTCAAACTCTTGTTAAGCTAATGCAATTACACAAACTAGTTTGTTGGCTAAATGCGCTGTACTTGTTTTTGATATTTTTTACGACACAACCCTTTTCTCTGAGAGACTGTTCTTGTAAGGTTGACGTTATAGCGTTTTCGGTGCTTTTTTGTCATTGAAACACCGATTGCAATAAGCCGTTGAACTGACGAATATGTGATTCTCATGGCTGAGAAAATCAACGTCAAACTGTAGCCCAGACCCAGACCGTACTTACCATACTAAACTCTTGTCAACGTGCTCAT